TTAAAGGTAACAATACTGATTTATTAGCTGATTTTGCCTATTCCAGTGCATGTTTAAAGGGCTTTAGAAGAGAACTAAGCAGAGAGTGATGGAGGCTGTCAATGGATCCTACAAGAGCTGGCCTGTTGGCCAGAAAGCAGCTTAGTATAGCTGAAGTAATGACCAAGAATCAGGAGGTTCTAGAAAGAATGATGGAAAAGAGAAGTAAAAAATTGTGCATGTAGCCTATGAGAAGCAGCAGCAATGGAGACCTGCTAGTTCCAGTGACCTTCCCATATTGTGTTTCTTGAGAGTACAACAGGCATCTTCCTCAAGCTGTGCAGAATAAAGTGAAGGTGATTATGAGTGGATCTGTATGGGTAGGATAAAGTGAGTGCTGTTGGTGCTGTACACCTCCTCTGTGCATGTCCACTTTTGGTTGCTGCTGTGGTGGGCAGTTCCATGTGAGCTGAGCTCATTCCAACAGCATCCCTCCTCCAGCCTGCACCACACCTCTCTCCACATAGGCCTGCTCTTAGACCTGTTTCCAAGTTGCAAGAAGCTCAGCTTGTGTACAAGTGTCATGGGAAAGACCAAGGTTAATATCCCATGAGAACCTGTTACAAACAGAGTTAGGGTCAAGGAGAAATGACCTGCATTATGCTTTTCAGACAGGAAATTATGAGATGTACTCCTTCATGCTGGAAGAGATATCCAGCCTTTTGCCTACAGAAGCAACTTCATCAGCCTATATGTGTATTGGCCTTTCTCCCTTTTTGTCTCCCCTTTTGCTATGCTTTCCTAATATCAACTCCCAAGTAAATTTACCTTTACCAAATCCTTGTCTTGGCTGTTTTTTTTCACATGAACGCAAACTAAAATATATTCCCATTAAGACCAGAAACAAATATGTTTACTGTGAGTCCTCCTCCCCCACATAGTACAATCCTTATTTACAGATCAGATACTGTATAGATAACCTGAGGAATCAAGAGTGATTCAGAGCTAGTAAAGAAGTTTGAATATGTGACTAGTGTTAGTGTAATATGAGAATATTAGTAAATTTTCTTTAGAATACTAATGTCCAACTAAAAATATAATGGAAGACAGGTCAATGTTCACCATTGCAATACAATCATAAAATAGAATTGAAATCATGTCTACAAAGTCATTCATACTTAACGAATGCATAATATCTTTAAGAAATGTTAAGAAACATTTTAAGGACATAAATTGATATCTAAATAAATGAAGACCATGTTTCTCATATTGTGGAGATATCAGTTTTCTCCAAACAATACATTCATCACAACTAACAATTATATTTTATGAACTTTTATCTATAGAACCTCATTCACCATGTTCTAAC